CGTGGCTTGTATATCTATGGACCGATCTGTGTATATGTCTACACCTCTGTTTAATGACTGTTATCAGGTGTCCAGGTGTGCCCATGTGTGTCTATTCCTGTCCTGGTGGTGGGTGTGAGTGTGTCCTTGTCATGTCCATGTGACTGGGTTTATCAGGATATGTGTATGTCTGTGTGCAGGCTCATATCCCTGTACTTCTGTGTCTTGGTGCATCTAAGAGTTTGTTACAAAGGCGACCTCTTCTACAAGCTGCCTGGGAAATAGGGTTTCTGGTTCTATATCCTAAGTATCTCTGCCTCATTCTGTGACCTTAAGTAAGTCCTTCCTATCCATTTCAAAGCAGACACCTGTCATGTGTGATTAAATCAAAGCCTGTAAGAAGGGGCTCTGAATAAACTATAACAGCTCTGCATTCAAGAAAACCAGTCCTGGGAGCACCTGGGTGGCTCAATGGGTTAAAGCCTCTGCCTTTGGCTCAGGTTATGATCCCAGGACCCTGGGATCGAGCCCCACATTGGGCTTTCTGCTCAGAGGGGAGCCTGCTTCCCCTTCTCTCTCTGCCTGCCTCTCTGCGTACTTGTGATCTCTGTCTCTCTGTTAAATAAATAAATAAAATATTTTTTTAAAAGAAGAATTTCTTATTAAAAAAAAAAAAAAGGAAATCCATTCCTGGGCCAGGCTTTCTAGGGGAGGCAACGTAAAATTCAGTCAATTTATCTCCTATCACCAGAAGTATTAAGGGCTGGGTGGCAGAAGAAATTGACATTTATTAAGCACAAGAGATGGAGGAAAGAGGTTATTGTGCGGACTGGAGAAGTTAAGAAAGGATGGTGTCGGGGGAGGTCTTGGAGAAGGCAGAGCCAGAGTTGGGTATTGGGAAAGGGTCGAAAGAGGTTTTGGGTGGGGAGCAGTGTATAGGAAAGGAATGTGAGAAAGGTGTAAATAAGGGACAATGACAATGCTGACCTGCCTACAGTGAGGTACAGGGAAGCACGTGGAAGCAGTTGGAGCTGAGACCACCAGAGAACCAAGTTGGAAAGCTCTGGCTGCCGGGCTCAGCTGTTTGCGCTGTCCCTGGCGGGCAGTGGGAGACAGGAAGGGCCATAAACTGAGCAGAAAGAGCGTGGGTCCAAGAATTCCCAGCATCCATATAGCTCTGGCTTTCTCTCTTTCTAAGGCTGTCCTACCCCACAGAAAACACACCAAAGTCTCTGGATGAAGATGGGTGAGAATCCATCTGTTCTGAAGACTGGGGACCTCTGGGCAGGAGGGAAATCAGCCCACAGACTCTGTGGACAGCACTGAGGCCTGGCATGCAGCCCTTCAGGTGAGAGAGCCCAACTTTCCTCTGCTGTCTTCCTGACTGGGGTCCTATCTTCCTCCCTACCTCACTACATTGTGCCTTACAGCTGTAGGAAGGAAGAAGCCACATGTGGGCTCTCTCCACCTACAAAACACCTTTTTCTGCCTTCCCATTCTCTCCCCCTACCTGAAATTCTCTTCCCAACCCCAGTTCAAACCTCACCTCTTCTTTGGAATCCTGCCTGAATCAGCCAAGTACAGGAAATTACTCCATCTTTGTTCATACATACATGGTGGAGTGCTTATTATTATGCACAGCTGGAGATCAAGGACAACAGCTGACCTGCCTTTATAATCCTAGAGACCAATACAAAACCTGACCCAAAGCAGGTACTCAACAGTTAGGTGCGAAGTGTACAGTTGAGTACTACTCCCAGGGACTCCACAAAGCCCAACCCCAGCAAGACCACTGTGTCCAGTTCCAGTTAAGAAACACACGGACAAAGCAGAGAGTGACCAGAATGGAAAAGGACCTGGAAATGAGGTCCTATACGAAAGAGTCTAAGGCACCAGGGGTATTTGGGTTTGAGAAAAGAATACTTAGTAGACTTAGGATGGGTTTGTTTTAACACTGTATGAAAAGCTGCACAGAAAGGAGAGTAAACATTTAACCCCCAGTGGCCAAAACTGTGACTTGTAGAAAAGTTACAGGGAAGTGGGATTCAGCTGAGATTAAGAAAAACATCTTTAAATAACTAACAGCGGACTGGATTGCTTCTAGTAGCCTCGGGGAAGAGGTAGAAGGCATCAGAAGTTGATGGAAAGGGAACCGACTTCTACTAAGTGTTCATCCTCTGCTACATGCTTATACATATATTACCTCATTTAGTCTTGGCATCAGTCATGCAGAGAGGAATGATTAGTATTTCCACTTTATAGATGAAGAGAGTGGAGATGAAATGAAGGTAGGTCTATGTTTACAAAGCCAATCAGCGTTAAAACCCAGGTGGCTCTGACTACAAAGGCAGTGACCTTTCCTGTACATCCCACAACTGCCCACTTGGAGGTGGGGAGGGAAGTTCAGGGGCTCTGCGAAGCCCTGCACCTCACGAGGAGATGGACAGGAGAGGTGACACGGTCCTGGCTCTTCTCTACTTTGGCTTTTTGCTGGGGAAAATGGTGGAGGTGGCATAAGCAGATGACTCCCTGGGACAACTAATGGGTGACAGTGAATGCAGAAGAAATGAATGCAGAAATGTAGAAGAAATGAAAAAATGGGCTATAGGCTTTATCCGGGGTTTCTCCTGGGAAGCGACAAGAGTGGACACTGCAGGTTGCCCATCTTCTCCTCTCTTTCACCTTCCCTTCCCTCTTTTTTCTCTCATTGCTCTTTAAAAAGCTTCATTCAACAAATACTGCTTGGGTGAACTTTGTGTTTAGGTCACTGGCAAGACAGAACAAACCTCAGTGACTTCTTGCAAGGAACATTCCTGCTAAGAACTCACTGAGTCTGCTCTCTGGGATCTCATCAAAGCCTGGCCCTTTTTCCTGGCAAAGTGGTAATAGACAAGGCCAGTAATAGAACATTTATAGAAACTTTAGAGCAATGGGAGAAAATATGTTTGAAGGAACAGATTGAGTGGGGAACAAAATGAGTGCCTTGTTTCTGAGATCATTGAATCACTTGGTTAACTGAGAAACTTTGACATTTTCTGTCAGCTGAGGTCAGAACAAAGACAAGCCTTGCCCCAGTATCATATATGAATTTTATCTTCTTCGTTCTATAACTTCTCTACCAATAACCCCACACAACCCCTTCCCTTGTCTGGATGCCTCCCCCTTCCACACCATAACATGTCTTTAGTATCAAACTCTATTCATTCTCCAAGACCCAATTCAAATCCCATCTCTTCTTTACATTCTTCCCAGACTCCTCCGGCAGAATTATTGACTCTTACATGGTTCATGAAATTAGTAAAGTGTGAAACACTGCAATCTGCTCTAGGTCAGACAGTAAGCAAAACTAGGACTCACTCTGTTCCCCAAAGTACCCAGCACAGGGGTCAGCAAACTATGTCTTACAAGCTAAATCTGCCCCATCTGCTTGTTTTGTAAATAAAGTTTTATTGGGGCATAGCCATTGCCATTCATTTACATATTATCAATGGCTGTTTTCCTGCTACAATGGCAGAGCTGAATACTTGCGACAGAGACCATATGGTCCACAAGCCTCAAGTGTTTACTCTAATATCCTTGACAGAAAAGTTTAATAATTCCTGAGTTAGCACACAGTATGTGGTGAATAAATGAATGGCAAATGCCATAAGGTGTTTTATGAAGAAACTTTAACTGGTATTCAGATGTCTGGGTCCCAATTCTGCCTCAGCTACCTATTTGACTAAGCAAATGATGATAGATGATAGGTACATAGATAGTAGATAAGTAGATGGGTAACATTTTTGTGCACTGGGTGGTGTGCTAAGTATTTTACATTTCTTTTCTTTGTTATTATGTTCACTTAGTCAGCATAGTACATAGTACATCATAACTTTTTGTTGTAGTGTTCAACAATTCAATAGTTGCATAGAACACCCTGTGCCTTAATGCCTATCACCCAGTTACCCCGTTCCCCCATCCCTCTCTCTTCTGTAACCCTCAGTTTGTTTCCTAGAGTCCAGAGTTTGGTTTGTCTCCCTCTCTGATTTCTTCCCATTCAGAGTTCCCTCCATTCCTCTGTGCCTCCATTCTATTCCTTATGTTCCACATATGACTGAAACCATATGAAAATTGTCTTTCTGTTTGATTTATTTCACTTAGCATAATCCCTTCCAGTTCCATCCACGTTGAGGCAAAAGGTGGGTATTCATCCTTTCTAATGGCTGAATAATATTCCATTGTGTATATGGACCACATCCTCTTCATCTGTTGAAGGACATTTCCACTCCTTCCACAGTTTGGCTATTGTGGACATCACTGCTATGAACGTTGGGATGCAGATGCCCCTTCTTTTTACTACATCTGTATCTTTGGGGTCAATACCTAGTAATGCAATGGCTGGGTGGTAGGGTAGCTCTATTTTTAACATTTTCAGGAACCTCCATACTGTTTTCCAGAGTGGCTGCTCCTGCTTGCATTCCCATGAACAGTGTAAGAGGGTTCCCCTTTCTCCACAACCTCACCAACACTTGTTTCCTGTCTTGTTAATTTTTGCCATTCTAGCTGGTGTAAGGTGGTCTCTCCTTGTGATTTTGATTTGTATTTCCCTGATGGCTAGTGACGTTGAACATTTTTTCATGTGTCTGTTGGCCATTTGTGTATCTTCTTTGGAGAAGTGCCTTCAATTTCTTACCCACTTTGTCTTTACGACACACTTTGGGGGTAGCTAGTAGTATTTTCCTCAAGGAAAGAAAAAGAAACATTCAGAGGGGTCACACCACCTGAGTGGTAGAGACAGGTCTCAAAATCAGATCTGATTTACTTCCAGCTTGAAAGCACCCAAGGCCTTAGGACACCCTTCTGAGATTCCATTTCTTCATAAAACGGGGGGAGGGGGGCGTTGTGGTTTCCAAGCCTTTGTAGCAAGCAGAGGTTTGAAAATAGGACACAAACCCGGACATGCAGAAGCCTAGCTAGAGGTGCCAGAACTTAGGCCTGCTCCTCCTCTGTGCTCTCTGCAGCCCTGCCTGTCCCGCTGCTCCATGGCCCTGGCCAACTTCACACCAGCCCCGGAATTCCTCCTCCTGGGCCTGGTGGATGGAACTGACACCCACCCCCTGCTCTTCCTGCTCTTCCTTGGTGTCTTCCTGCTCAATGCGCTGGGCAACCTGACCATGGTGGTGGTGGTGAGATCGGATGGGGCCCTCCGCTCCCCTATGTACTATTTCTTGGGTCACCTAAGCCTTGTGGATGTCTGCTTTACTACTGTCACAGTCCCCAGACTGTTGGCCGGCCTGCTCCACCCAGGCCAGGCCGTGTCCTTCCAGGAATGCTTTGCCCAGATGTACTTCTTCGTGGCTCTGGGCATCACCGAGAGCTACCTGCTGGCAGCCATGTCATATGACCGCGCGGTGGCTGTCTGCCGCCCCTTGCACTACCGGGTGGTCATGACGCCCTGGCGCTGCACAGCGCTGGTGGCAGCGTCCTGGACAGTGGCCCACCTGCACTCACTGCTTCACACGCTGCTCATCTCTGCTCTCTCGTACCCATGCCCTGCCCCTGTGCGCCACTTCTTCTGTGACATGACCGTGATGCTGAGCTTGGCGACCTCGGACACGGCGGCCGCGGAAACTGCCATCTTCTCCGAGGGCCTGGCCGTGGTGCTCACCCCGCTGCTCCTCGTGTCGCTCTCCTATGCTCGCATCCTCGTTGCGGTGCTGGGAGTGCGGTCAGCGGGGGGCCGGCGCCGTGCCTTCTCCACCTGTGGGGCCCACCTGGTGGTGGTGTCGCTCTTCTTTGACTCTGTCCTTTCTGTCTATTTCCGGCCATCATCTGCCTACTCAGCCCGCTACGACCGCCTGGCCAGCGTGGTCTATGCAGTGCTCACACCAACCTTGAACCCTTTCATCTACAGCCTTCGCAACAAGGAGGTCAAGGGCGCCCTAAAAAGGGGACTCAGGTGGAGGGCTGTGTCCCAAGAGTTGTGAGGGCAGTTCCTGATTAACAGGCATTTCAAGAATAAGAACAATTACAAAAGAACCTCTCCTCCCTTTTCTAGCTTTGCAAAGCATTAGCAGTTTTGATCCTGCAGCATCTTATTTATGGTTAAATTAAAAATTAGACCTGAAGCAAAGGTGGCAATATGTTTATTTTACAGGGATGGGTACATAGCAATAAGCTAAATTCGTTTCCTCATTGTCTGAATGTTTAAAAAATAGAGATTACTTTTAAATTTTGGAAAAGCGAAGGGAACAATCAGGGTACTAGGGAATGAGTCTTGTAGCTTCTGGAGAGGAAGAGGGAAGAGTGTGGCTGGCAGCAACCTAGTGGATGGAGAGGAAACCCAAGAAGCAGTGTAATAAGGTTTTTTAAAAGAGTTCCTTTTTGTTGTTGTTGTTTGTTTGTTTTTAGGGGGACAGGGTGCTGCAGTGTAGACCACACCATCTTCAGACTCTTTTTCTGGAAACTTAAGGGAAGATGTAATTTTTATAAAAATTTTTTAAAATTCTATTCCCTAGATAATATATCCATCATTTTCATGGCAAGAACTCACAAGTAGAAATAAAGATAAAATTCTTCTTAACTATCATTCAATCCGATCTCCACCTTTATCCCAGTTACCAGTTCAATACCTCCTCCACCTTTCTCTCCCTGCTTTCGACACATAAATAGTAGTCTCTCTCTCTACATATTCTGCAGTTTCCCTTTTCATGAAATAATAGTGCAGGAAATCTTTTCTTATCCCTACAAATAGAATTTCTTCATTTTTATCTTCAGTTTAACCAGCCCCTTATTGATAGTTATGCCTTCCCAAGGTTTCACTATTACAGTAGTGTAATGATATCCTTGTACTAAAAATAATAAAAGATAACCTTTAGTGAGGACTAACGTAAGTACTCTACGCATATATTTCCTTTAAACCTCACAAGATTCCAGGAGGAATATATTATTATTCTCATTGCACAAGAGAGGAAACAGGCTTAGAGAAACCAATTCTGTTAGACTCAGCAATGTCTTCTTTCTGATTCTGAGCTCTGACTTGAGCTGCTGCTATATGGTCTCCTCCCTCATTATCCTAATAGTCCCTAGAGATACACTAACTCTCAATTCCATCTGCACTCCATCAGTGTGTGTAAGAACTTTTCAGATCTTCATGGCCTAACATGGTTGAGAAGATTTGCGTTTGTGTGCATGTATTTATTTATTTATATTTATTTTCAGTGTTCCAAAATTCATTGTTTATGCACCACACCCAGTGCTCCATGCAATACATGCCTTCCATAATACCCACCACCAGGCTCACCCAAACCCCTACCTCCCTCCCCTCCAAAACCCTCGGTTTGTTTCTCAGAGTCCAGAGTCTCTCATGGTTCATCTCATTTGTGTGCATGCTGAGATAGAGACAGAATTTTAGACTCTCTTCTGTAGACTAGCGCTGTCATGATATGGTGGCCCCATGCATTGGTAGGCCCTTCTGCAAAGGGCCTTCTCCAAAAATACCTCCAAACAAGTTGGGAAAGTTAACTATGCCCTTCGATATCCAAAAGTATTGAAAGATAAAGAGTATGGCCTTACACTAACATCTGAACTCTCCTTAGAATAACTATTATTTTATGTAGTTTTCGAAATGGTATTCAAATGCAATTAGAAAAGAGAAATAACAGAACTAAGTATTTGAAAAAATATTCATACTTATCAATACTGATATTAGCTTTGATTGTGTATCTTCAGTGCTTAAATATTTAATTGAAAATCCTTATTAGCAAATAAAAGAGAATTTAGTAAGGTGGACTACTGTAAAATTGATATACAAAACAATCAGTAACTCCTATGTAAAAAGAGTACTTGTCTAAAAACACAATAGTGACCCCCCATTTTTTATACATTTTTTACATTTTTACATTTTTTTAAAAATGTAAAATACCTAGGAATAAATACCTAGGAATAAATGTAGAAAGCAATATACAGCAATATACCAAATTAAGAAGTGTACAGAATTTAACTGAAAAATGAAAACTTGGAGTAAATGGAAAGATATTTGTTATTTATAGTTTTTAAGACAACTGTATAAATAGCCAATTCTAATTCATAAATGAATGTAATAATTCAAAGTAACTCCAGTTAATTTCCCAATAGTTTTTTTTTTTTAATTGGAATTTAACAAAATAGATCTAAAGCATATCTGAAAGGAAAAATGTCAGGAAAGTTTTGGAAGAGAAGAATATACAGGAGGGCTTGTCACATAAGGTACCTAACATATACTGCTATAGATAGAATGACGTCAATATAATAAGTCCAGAAATGAATAAAATAATAATAATATAATAAGGAGGTGTACATGAGCCTTAGAACATTATAAAATCAGTTTTTCACATCTGTGAAGGTGAAGACAATAAGGAAGGGGGGAAGAAAAAAGGGGCAGTTGCCCTTAAAATTTTGGGTGGATCGAAGTAGAGATATAGAAACTAAAACTGCAAGAACTAGAAAAAATAATGAGATAATAATAATGATGGTAATGATAAAATAACATTAATTTGGGGATAGAAAAACCTTTTCCAAGCTTGTCAAAGAAAAAATATATATCAAGAAATAAAAATCCACTTAACTTGTCTACTTTGAAGTTTATGATCTTAGTGAGGGAAAAATGCATCACTACCAAAGTCAGAAGTTGAACAGACTGAGGGAAATGTGGTTTACAAGATAGGTAAAGTGGCATCACAAGAAAAAAGAAAATTGACTTAAGGCAAAGGACGTGCTCAAATTACACGCTCAAGGAACAGTAGTTAATATAAAGAGATGTTTGACCTCATTGATATGTATAGAAATTCAATTTAAAAATAGTAAAATCTCGGGGTGTGTGGGTGGCTCAGTAGGTTAAGCAGCTGGCTCTTGATTTTGTCTCAGGTCATGATCCCAGGGTCCTGAGATGGAGCCCTGTCTTGGCCTCCTCGCTCAGTGGGTTGTCTGCTGGAAATTCTTTCCCTCTGCCCCTCCCCCTGCTCGAGTTTTTTTTTTTTTCTTTCTCTCTCTCTCAAATAAATAAATCAATCTTTTAAAAAAATAGTAAAATCTCATGTTTTGATATTAGGTTGATAAATAATTGGAGAACAAAAAATCCAGTGTTGAGAACATGTAAAGAAACAGCTATGCTCATTCACTTTTGGAAGGAATATACGTTAGCAGAATTCCTTGGAGGCAATTTGGAAACTTCTACCCAATTATAACATGTTTTTGATCTAGTAAGCCCATTTCTAAGAATGTGTCCTTAGAATCAGAGCACAAGTCCACAAGAAAACATATGGACCAGGCAATAAAATTGAAGTATTGTTCAAAATAATAAAGAACTGAAAACAACCCAGATTATTTAAATAAGTTATGGTTGGTTAATGCATCCATTCAACAAAACACTATACAGATTCTAAAAGGATTATATGTCTTTATATGAAATAATGAACTCAAAATATATTTTATGTAACAACATAAAAAAATGGAATGCATAATTTAATCTCACTTATTACATGCAAAGTTAGTCTTTGCATAGAAAATATCTATGCATATTGAATATTCCCCAAACTTTAACTGCCTTCATGGGGAGAGCAGAACTTTGGGGAACCCTCACATTCTCACTTTATTATTTCTTTCTTTATTTTTTGGATAATTTTCACTGAGAATGTTTTCTTTTTGTAATCAAAAATTTTTGAAGAAGAAATAAGGTCAAAGTTGGAATTATTAGGAAGACTTTTTTTAAAAGGTGAGATTTTTAAAGGCATGCATTAATTTCAAGACACATATGAAAATGCATTCAAATAAAATCAATTACTATTCTACATTTAGTAAGTACAAGGCACTGAACTCATCATTGAAGAGATTAGAGAGCACCTGTCTTCAAGACACTTAAACTTCATAAAAAAAGAAATAAATGAAGAAAGCATCACAAAATTTTAGCATAATATTTCAGAGGAAAAATCCACCTGAGAGTAATAAATAGATTCTAATCCCTCTGTCACTATTTGTGCTACCTTAGGCTGTATATGGGTTTCCATTTTAGTTCCTATAAATTAACAATTCATAACAGAATCACATGGTTCATTGCTTACCATATGATTTTAATTCAAAAGATAAATTCTCATCCAAAATATAAATATTATCAAAAGAAGTAATCTGTCATTAACTGACAAGTGATAGAACAAATCAAAGGAAAAAGAAATTTTAGAATGTGGTCATTAAAAAGGTGAATCAAAACCTGAAATGAAAATTAAGTACAGAATAGGTCAACAAGGGAAGAAATGATGATCCTTGGGAGAGTAAAAAATTACAAAAGGATGTACATAATAAATTAGAAGATATTCTTCATGGAATAAGCATATTTGTCAGAAGCAAAGCACTGAAGTGGTTGAGAAGTTTGGCTTTACTTCTTAGAGAATTAGGAACTACTGAACATTTTTCTTTTTGTGCAGTAAACACTAAGGTTAGAGTGGTATTTATTCAAATTTGAATAATAATTTCTAAGTGTCCACTACATGTCAGTCTTGTTGTACATCACCCCCAGAAACTGTGGTAAACCCAAGAGGTACAATGGACCCACCACTAGTGACATGTGGGAAAAACCCCAGAGGTGCTATTAGGGCTGAATTAGCATGGGTACCACTAGACTTTACAGACACTACTCATTGTCAATATTACATCTACTGTTTGAAAACATACTTTAATCTTTAGAGTCTCTGTCCCAAAAAAGCTGTATTGTCCACTTTGAAAAGGCTCTTCCCAAGGCTCCCTTTATGTCCTGATTCCTCAGGCTGTAGATGAAGGGGTTCAGCATGGGGGTGACAACAGTGTACATCACAGCCATGACAGTCTCTTTAACAATAGAATTATTAGCTGATGGGCACAAATAGAGGCCAATGATTGTCCCATAGAAGAGAGACACCACAGAGAGGTGGGAGCCACAGGTGGAGAAGGTCTTGCGGATGCCCCTGGCAGAAGGGAC